ACATTGCAGACTGCTAGCAGTAGGAGAAATTGCTCTTGCCAAGGATCTTAATGATGTTTTTACAAAAGTCTTTTGAAGGCCATACAAGCTGAAGCCAAGGGCCAAAATGGCCCTAGGATTGCATGCAGCACCTGCTGTAGGTCTCAGGTTTAATTTTTGCCATTTTGGCAGTTTTGACAAAGAAAAACTCTACTTGAATTCTACAACTGCCAATCATTGCGACCAGGATTGGGCTAGGGGCTCCAGTGGTTTGACATATACAAGGTCACTTTCCATTGTCCATCACCCTTCCTTAATTGGAAATGTGCTGTTAAAATTTCATTCCTAGTATGAAAGCAAAAGATTTAGCCCCCTCCATGAAGATTGGTTGTGTAACACCAAAAAAAATGTTGAATTATTAATTTCAAAGCCAGACAGATTTAAGATTTTTAACTCCCCATCAGCTGAAATGTGAGGTCTGATTTGAAATCGATAGTTCAGACAACTCTCAATAAGTAGCATGAACATGAAGAAAACTGGTAGCTAAGAAAATGAAGAATTTGATTAGGTTTCTAGCTTATGTCCAACCCAATAACACTAAGCTAGTAGATTTCTTCTTTATGGATCAGGGTCAGCATTATCTGGATAAAGAAAAAAAGATGGATTTGTTTACAAAGATTTGGCAATAATGCATAAATATTTTGTTCTTGGTCGTTCTCAGCTAGTTTTTCTTCAAAACTCTTCTATATTTCTAACGTCCCTCCTTCCTTCCTTCCTTCCTTCCTTCCTTCCTTCCTTCCTTCCTTCCTCCCTTCCTCCCTTCCTCCCTTCCTCCCTCCTTCCCTCCCTCCTTCCTTCCTTCCTTCCTTCCTTCCTTCCTTCCTTCCTTCCTTCCTTCCTCAAAGCAGGTTATAGAAATGCTTTGATTGATTGGATAGGACTAGAATTAATACAAAATTCAGCAATAGTTGCCTGCTCTACAAGGTCCTGGTGAGATACTAGACTCTTCCTGGTGGGACCGGAAGTTGGCAAACAGGCCATTTCCAGCCTCTAGAGGGCCTCTGGGGGGGATGGGGAAGGCCATTTTTGCCCTCCCCAGACTCCTAGAAAGGCTATGGAGCCTGGGGACAGCAAAAAATGGGCCTTCCCCACCCCCCACCCCCGAGGCCCTCTTGAGGCAGGAAACAGCCTGTTTTCTTACTTCTGGTGGGCCCAGAAGGCCCGAAAATCAGCTGGCCAGAGCGTGCATGCGCGCTGGAGCTGAGCTCACGTGCCCACCAATATGGCTACGTGTTCCACCTATGGCACACATGCCATAGGTTCGCCATCACAGAGCCAGTCTGTCTCAGTCAGCCTTAGAAAGGATGCAATGGCAAAACACTTTTGAAAATGTTGCCAACAAAACTTCAGGATCTTATCCATATAGCTGCCAGAAGTCAAAACTTAACATGAAGGAGATTATATACATAAACATACATGTTTGTTTATATGTATGTATGTATGTTTATGTACTGTATATACTGTACACTGTGTGCCTATAAGTGTATTTGTGTGTGTGTGTGTGTGTGTGATACAAACATTGCTAATATGTTACTTATATATTATTACCAAAGTTAAGTGCTTTAAAACATTCATTATATGACTTCAAGAAAGCATTTTGTGTAATTATTTTGTTGCAATAGTAACTGAAGTGATTATTTATAGTTAGGTTATACTTGAGTTGTTTTTTTCTTTCTTGCCACATGATGAAACTTTATAAAATGTAGTTTTAAGGATGTCTATAGCAGCGAAGAGAAACGCTGAGTCCATTTAGTTGAGAATTGGAAAACTTGATTTCTAAATATAGATATGTATCTTTAATGATATTTTTTACATAAGGAGAATACATTTCTTCTGCATGTGGTGGTGAAATGCATAGCTCCTCTAATCAAGTCAAGCAAATCCACTTTATTTTACCAACTGAGCAGCTGAGAAACTCTCAGCAGTAACAAGATGGATTTCTTTTTAATGAATATTTTGAGTAGGTCTCCTATCACCAAGAAACTGGCAGGGGTGATTATTCAATAGCCAGGCATAGCAATGAGCAACAGTTTAAGATGTCTGCTGTTCCAGTGATGTATCCCATGTGTGATGGAAAGTTGCATCTCAGAAAGTGGTCACAAGGTAGATGCTCATTGCTTTTCCCAGCCAAATGTACAGTATATATCTATTCACGATGGTCACCTTACAGTTTGCAGCCAAATTATAATTGCTAATGTGCCAGAACAAGAAAGTTGTTATATATATAATATAATTTAATTTCATTTAAATAATCGTTTGATTTAAACATAGCTTTAATGACATAGCTTTCACAGCCCGTCTTTTTGTTGTTGTTGTTGTTACTGCTGCTGTTGTCCTTGACTGCCTCTTTTTTGAAACACAACTGCTTCCATAAGGACAAATATTGGTCTTAATTTAAAAAACGTTGTTGTTGTTTTGAAAAAAAATGTATTTTTTATTTTTAAACAAACATACATAAAAACATAAAATCATCTTCAATTACGCACAGTGTGTCGGCTGGTTACAAGTCCTTTGTGCATCTTCACCATATTCATAGCTTACAATTTACCTAAATTCTCATATTATCAATTTAATATATATATCTATGTATTATTGTCCTCATTAATCATTTATTTAACTATAACTATTCTTCCCTCATTTTATACAAAACATTCTAAAATTTGAGTTAATTTATGTTATAACATTCATTTCATCATCTTAAATCGATCCAATAATAATACATCTTTATGTTATATTTTATATAATTCTACAATTCTTGTATTATAAAGATCTCTATCATATTTCATTTCCATATTTTTTTATCTAATCATTTTAAAAAACATTGTTGATGAAGGCAGTGGTGGGTTTCAAATTTTTTTACTACCGCTTCGGTGGGCGTGGCTTGGAGGGGGCATGGCATGGCTTGGGGGGCGTGGCTTGGGGCCGTGGCAGGGGAAGGATACTGTAAAATCTCTATTCCCTCCCCACTCCAGGGGAGGATTACTGCAAAATCTCCATTTCCTCCTGATCAGCTGGGACCTGGGGGGCAGAGAATAGATGGGGGTGGGGCCAGTCAGAGAACTACCGGTTCTCTGAACTACTCAAAATTTCTGCTACCGATTCTCCAGTACTGGTCAAAACCTGCTGAAACCCACCTCTGATGGAGGGGCATATCTGTAGCTCAGGGTTGAAATGAGAGGTCCTTAGTACTCCCTGAGTTTGGTTGTTTTCTTGCAGACATTTCATTGGCCAAACTAGGTAACATCATCAGTGCTAAACTAGTTCATTACCTAATCTGACAATGAAATGTCTGTAGGAAAACAACCAGGTTCAGAGAGCATGTTCTGTCCCCCTTCCTCACACAGGCAAACATAATACCAAGCACGCCTGCCAATATTTTATTAGGTAAACAGATTAGAATTTTTGGCAGACCAAGGTTTTGGCAGCAAACTGCCAAACTTTATGGGAGTTTTCACTCCCATAAAGCAGAAGAGGACTTATCTTCAGTCCGTTCCAGGAGCAACAAATTATCCACGAGACAAGAGTTTAGTCAATGTTCAGTCCAAAATATATCCAAGCCGAATTTCAGAGATCACGATGTGACTTTCAGGGTTTAACTTTGTCCGTCACAAAGCCTGAAGAGCAATCCCACCCACTTTTATTCCTGGTGGGGCGTGGCTCCGTGACTCAGTTCAATCTCTGGCCCTCCCACACCTCTTCCGTTGCTGCGCATGCTTCTCCCTCCGACGCTGCCTGGGATCAAGCCAGGATTCATCATCCTCGCTCCCTATCAATTGGTGCTCCGATATGCCTTCCTCCTGGCACATCCCAGGCTGTTCCTCCTGGCCTTCGGATGGAACCTGAGGCATTGCCAGAAAGGAGGGTCCTGGAGAGGGAGGCCTGGTCAGTTCCTCCCCATCACCTTCTGAGTCTTCTTCCTCTGTTAGGACAGGCTCGGGAGTCGGGGTCACAACAGAACACTAAGGGCCTCGTCACTAAAAAAAACCCTCTATGTATTCTTGCCAGGATTCATAAGGAAGGGGTCAATGATAAAAACAGAAAAGGGGAAAATGAAATGAGAGAACTGCGTGATGACCTTTAACATTCTCTGGTGAAATCTTCAGAATTCTCACTGTGTCTAGATGAGGCTACTTTTCTCATGAAAGTTGTAACAGGTAAAGTTATGAACTTAAACACCTTATGATCTACCGAGTAAACTACAATCAATCAAATATGGTCAGGGGTTGAATAAAATGGGCAGAAAAAAAATTAATTTCCTACTATTTCCTGTGGCTCAGCAGTTATTTATTGCTCCTCCAAATGAACCTGGGAAGAAATGAACAATTTTATTTCATCTTTTATTTTTCCTTAATAGGACTGGGGATATGATTGAAAATTGGTTTTGAACATTGGATATGTACATGAGTGAGAAATGTATGGATCATTCTGAGCTTTTCTTAAGATTTCATTTTCTTCTGACATGCAGTCAATTTTTTATTTACTTGCTTATTTATTTGCTGATTGATTGATTGATTGATTGATTTGTTTATTTGCTTATTTCTTTATTTCATTAGATTTTAGATGCCCTCCAACACAATATGCAAAGAACAACAATGTAGAACATAATACATACAGCATAATATCAGTAATCATAATCAGTGCATGGTGAAAAATGTACCCTAGTTTCTAATCCCTTAAAACAGTTTCATGCTTGGAGAGCTTCTCTATCCAGATTCCCAAAGCTGAGCCTTTTCTTAATTCACAGACCATAACATAAGGTGGCTTAATCAAAGGCTCCTCGAAAAAGCCAAGATCCAGCTTGATCAATATAATACTTAAATACATTTGTATCGCTCATTTGAATGAATCAAGGAGAATCATGTTAAGTATGCATATTTGATTTGGCAAGCAGGTTTATGATGGTTGCCCAAATCATCTTCACATTGTTAACTCTGATGATATTATATTTGCTTCATTTACAGAACCAAGTTCCCATTATGTCATATCTCTGAAAGCATTTAACAATGCTGGGGAAGGAGTGCCTCTTTATGAGAGTGCCACCACCAGATCACTGACAGGTGAGTTAGAAGGGGTTGCTATCTTTATTTACCCACCCTCTCTCTTATAGCAACACATACGGTTGGATAAAGTAAGTATATTTCTTTTAATGGTGATGATATCATCCCACGTGCTGGGATAGGGATGGTACAAGTCTGGAAGATCAGTCTCAGAAACGTTATAGTTGACTCGAAAACTGCAAGTGAAGGAAGAAGTTTATCTCACTAAAACTATGGTGACAGCATGTTGAGACTTTAGAAAGAGTGCAGAGCTGATTAGGGGACTGAAGGCTAAAACATATGAGGAACGGTTGCAGGAACTGGGTATGTCTAGTCTAGTGAAAAGAAGGACTAGGGATGAAATGACAGCAGTGTTCCAATATTTGAGGGGCTTCCACAAAGAATAAGGGGTCAACCTATCCTCCAAAACACCTGAAGGCAGGACAAGAAGCAATGGATGGAAATTAATCAAGCAGAGAACCAACCTAGAACTAAGGAGAAATTTCCTAACAGTGAGAACAATAAACCAGTGTAATGACTTGCCTCCAGAATTGTGGATGCTCCAACACTAAGAAGAGAAGCATTTGACTGAAATAGTATAGAGTTTCCTGCTTGAACAGGGAGTTGAGCTAGAAGGCCTCCAAGATCTCTTCTAACTCTGTTATTCTGTTAGCAGAGCTGTTGTGCCTGAGATGACTTTTTCACACATTCTCATCACAGAACATTGAAAACCAAACACGGACATCACATGTATAAGGCACTAAGCTAGTGTTGCTTAACCTTAATTTATTGAATTAAGATAAACCACAGTTGTCTAGGCTCACACAAGTCAAAACTAAGGGAACGCACATCATCACTTAAAACTGATGTGTGAAATCTGGCTACCGTATATCATGTGTCTTTGTGACAGGAAATAGTGCTGTCTAGTTTAAGTATCAGGTCTGTTACAGGCATACTCTACAATCTTTTGATGCTGAATTCAGTGATGCTGAAAACAGTTTAAAAGGCAAGATTCGGCATGTTGTTACCCTTTCTTTATCTCCTCTTTCAAAATTTCCTAAAGCTTTACGAAATTACAGATAACTAACTATAGGAGGTCCTCGATTTATGACCACACTGGGACCAGAATTTCTGTCACTAAGAAAGGTGATTGTTAAGTGGGTCATGCTTGATTTTATGACATTTTTTTAGCCAAGATTGTTAATTGCAAATCACAGCAGTTGGTAAGTGAAACATGCAGTCATTAAGCAAATCCAGCTTTCCCCATTGACTTGTTGGAATCTGGCTGGAAATAGCAATCATGTGTCCCTGTATCACTGAAACCATTGCCAAACAACCAAATTTTGACCATGTGTCCATGGGAATGCTGCAATAATTTTAAGCGTGACTAGATAAATAATAATTTTAATAAATTTAAAAATTGTTAAAAATGTAAAATTATTTAATAAATAATTTTAAGCCTGACTAGGTGGCTCAGTGGCTAAGACACTGAGCTTGTCGATCAGAGAGGTTGGCAGTTTGGCAGTTCGAATCCCTAGTACAGGTCTCCTGCATGAGCAGGGGGTTGGACTAAATGACCTCCAAGGTCCCTTCCAACTCTGTTACTGTTTAAAAAAAAAACTATTAAGCATGAGGACTGGTCATAAGTCTCTTTCTTCAGTAACATTGTAACTTTGAATGATTGCTAAAGGAATGGTTGTATATTGAGGACTACCTGTAGTTAGTCTGTACTTTCACAATCACAGGAATTCAGCCATCCCATCTCTTTCCTACTGTATCTCTTTCTCATGGTAGAATGAAAATCCTATTATCTTTCCCTGAATCAAATTTTCCCTTTGGTTGCCAGTGGGATACTCCTGAAGAAGCCAGATTTTGGCAATTGGGCTGGAAGTTCACAAAAGAGTCCATGTACCACCCATTTCACCTTTGCCCCTTCTTCATATACTTGTCTGTGCTACTGTAGAAAGAACTCAATACATCATATAAAGTTTCTTCTATGTCTTTAAAAAAATATTTGGATCCATTATGCCTTTAAAAATGTTGTTGTTGTTGTTAGTTGCGAAGTCATGTCTGACCAATCACGACCCCATGGACAACGTTCCTCCAGGCCTTCCTGTCCTCTACCATCCTCTGGAGTCCATTTAAGCTCACGCCTGCTGCTTCAGAGACTCCATCCAGCTACCTCGTTCTCTGTCGTCCCCTTCTTCTTTTGCCCTCAATCCTTCTCAGCATTAGGCTCTTCTCCAGTGAGTCCTTACTTCTCATTAGGTGGCCAAAGTATTTGAGTTTCATTTTAAAAATGTAGAAACCTTTCATTTATGGTACGCCAGAATAACAGAATAATAGCATTGGAAGCAGGAAATCCTGCACCACTTCAGACAAATGGTTGTCCAATCCCTTCTTTAAAAACCTACAGTGTTGAAGCATTCAGAACTTCTCAAGGAAAGTCGTTCCACTAATTAATTGTTCTCACTGTCAGGAAATTTCTCCTTAGATCCAGGTTGGTTCTCTACTTGATTAGTTTCCATTCCATTCATGGCTTCTTGTTCTGACCCCTCTTCTTTGGGGCAACCAATATACTTAGTATTTTGTGGCATGCCAATGTACTCTCATCCCACACTTATTAGAAGAATAATGTGAGGAATCAATAATGTTTTCCCACTGTACACATTCTCCTAATGAAAATATGGAGATTAATTAATAGTAATATCATATTGCAAGTTACCAGAACGGTATGGGAGTTCCTTGCCTCATAGCTCAGTACTCTCAGCTCTGCAAAAAGGAATAATGATGGCTGAACCATTTACACAACACTTTCCCACACCAGAATGTGAAATTACTACTTCTCGGTTTGAAAGCGCTGTGTCATTCACGCATTCAGCCAATGAGCTCCCTCATTAGAGGTGCTACGGCAATTACACAGAGTCCATCCATATGGAAGCAGCTCTGTTAATATGTGAATTAATTATCCTTCTGTTTGGAAATGAAAAACCTGACCTATCCACCCTGAACATGCAGCAGAGTCCATAACAGCCCCCTTTTTTGATAAATTTGACTACCTGCTAAAATGAGTCAATTGTGCCTTTGTCAAGATTCAGCTGGAAAGACTACTGATGGAGCAAAATTAAATGATTATGCTGCGAAGGAACATATTATATTTTCACTGGTGGCTTTAACTCCACACAGGCCTTATGATAATGGTCTCTGCTCCAGCCATTTTACATTTCAAAATACCAAATTTAAGCATAATTTGAGGAACTGTAATGCCAGTATACCCCAAAAGGGAGAGAGGAGGAGAAGGAGGGAGCTTCTTAACATTTATTATTTTGCTAAACTGAAGTTAATTAGCTCTAGACAGCCGAAGCAGAGATGTCAGCCAGAGTAAGAAAGTGAGGTCTCATTCAGAGATTGGGGCCTCCGTGGTAATGCAAGATACTACAGTTTCCAGCACCATTCACATCTTCTCTCCTGACTCATCTTCCATTCAAGCGCAATGCTTGTGTGTTCCCAGTGGTCCAAGTTTTGTAAAGTTAGAATAGGAACATTAAGATGCAATGATGAATAATGGAAAGTAGAATTCAGGAAGGAGCAATAACTCAGGGAATAGAGGTGGACGTTGACTTACAACCATTCATTTAGCATTTACCATTTAGAGTCCCATCCCATTCATGTTTAACAGATTAACAGAGTTGGAAGGGACCTTGTAGGTCATCTAGTCCAATCCTCCATCCAAGCAGGAGACTCTACGCCATTTCTGACAGATGGTAGTCCAGTCTCTTATTGAAAGCCTCCAGTGATGAAGTACCCACAACTTCCGAAGGCAACTTCTGTTCCACAGGTTGATTGTTCTCACTGTCAGAAAATTCCTCCTTATTTTTAGGTTGAATCTCTTCTTGATCAGTTTCCATCCATTATTCCTTGTCTGGGTGCCTTGGAAAATAGCTTGAGCCCTTCCTCCCTGTGGCAGCCCCTCAAATATTGGAATACTGCTGTCATGTCTCCCTGGTCCTTCTCCTCACTAGCCATGCCAAGTTCCTGTAAAAGTTCTTCATATGTTTTAGCCTCCAGTTCCCTAATCATTTCTGGGAGTGGTTACAAATGGGAGTACATCCAGCCCATGGTATGGTCAACCTTGGCTTAAAAACATTGGAAGCCTTACAAAAGCATCTAGCTCGAAAGCACCAAGGTACTTCCAGGTTGAAACAATTAGCCAGTGACATCACTGTTGCCCAAGAGACAGCTGGTTGGGGGCTCCTTTCATGTCCCCCATTAATGTGCCCACTGAAGTGATACCCATCTATCTATTTGAGATTGCTCACATTTGAACTGCTAGGCTGGCAGGAGCTAGAGCAAATGATGGGAACTCACCCCACCACACAGCAGTACTCTGGTCTCGAACGCGGGCTGATTGCTGATTGTCAACCCAGCATCCTAACCGTGTGAGCCACCATGTTCCTTCCATCTGAAGTTATAATAGCACTGGGGGGAAAAGTGATTTAGAACAGGTCTTTGCACTTTAAAGTAGTCCCCATAGTCAAAATTTGGGGACTTTGCAACTAGCATGTATTGACTGCAGTTGCAGCATCCTGGGTTCATGTGATCACCATTTGCAACCTTTCCAGGCAATGTCTGACAAGCAAAAATCAATGGGGGAGGCTGGATTTTCTTAACAACCGCATGATTCACTTAATAACTGCAGTGATTCATTTACCAACTTTGGCAAAAAAAAAAAAAAGGTTGTAAAGTCAGAGATGATTCAACTTAAAAACTGCCTTGCTTAGCAACAGAAATTCTAGTCCCAATTATAATTGTAAGTCGAAGGCTCCCTTTGTTTCTACCTGGAAATCGCTTCTGGACTTTGTGTTTGAGGTAGAAAAAAAATGAAGCTTTGATTTTGGGCTTTACCGATTAGATAGATATGGTGTTACGGACATGACTAGTTTAAACCAGAGGTCGCCAACCTTTCGGACCTCAGGGACCACTAAGTTCATAATTTTAAATCCTGTGGACCACTAATATGA